ATAAGATGAGCGCAGTAATTTTACTTTTTTCAATTTACTTGTTGATGTCTACATTCATTATCTATCAGAAAAGCTCAAACAATTATAGAAGAGCTTACTGATGAAAAATGAGGTGAATTTCCACTGCATAGTGAAATTAAGCTCTGATTATCTGTCTTAAATTGCAGAGTCTGAAGTTATAGGGAAAAGATGGCAATCACACAGGATACCTAAAAGCTAGTACAGAAACACCTCTTTTTTAAAAAAAAGTTATATACTTACAAATTTTAAATCTTTACACTTCAGTATTACAGTGTTTTAATAGGTTGATCTTCTCTTCTTCAACTAGGTGACCCAAACAGGCAATATGAGGGGGCTATTCACCGTTACAGGACACAACAGGAACCTCCTTCACCTCAGCAACCTCCACCTCCTTCCTCACAAGCTGAAGGGATGGGACATGTGCCCAGGACCCATCGACTCATCACCCTTGCTGACCACATCTGTGTAGGTTTATTTTCATGCATCTTTTCACACTTCAAAGTTGTATTTTGATTATGAGAACACATTTTCTGCAACATTAGTTAAAACTAATAATTGCAGGTGTAGTACTGAGAATATGATAAACAGTAATGTGGGTGAACTTTAAAATTGTCTCATTTGTTGCAAGTAGTCTCATATTCATATGGTCCTTTAACAAGTACACTCTGGTTAATGTCTTAGCAAGGTCTCCTTTCTTTTTTGACCAAAATCAGCAAATTATTACGCAAGACTTTGCTAGAAACCAAGCCTCTCAAGCCTCCTTGCAGCCTCCTACCAGTACATTCCAGAATTCCACCCCTGCTCCAGCGCCTGTTTCTAGCCGGGCAAAGACATCAAACCGCTACAGCCCTGAGTCGCAGTCGCAGGCTGTCCACCATCAGCGGCCGGGTGCTAGAGTGTCGCCTGAAAACCTCTCTGACAAGTCCAGAGGAAGGTAATGTTTGTAATCCAATCTCAAATTTTATTATTGTGCAAGCGAGGTGTTTGTGAAAATTAGTATGATAATATTTAGATCTGAGTGAGAGCTATCCTTTAATCTTTTTATTAGATGCCTCAAGGCAATATCTACCTTGTACTTTTGTACCATTTTTGACAATTTTTTGCATGTATAACTGTTTATAACAGTGTTCCCTTCACTGCTGATACTTAATTCACAGTCATTATAGTTAAGGTGCTTAATCACTTGAAACTAATCCAAATAATTATGGATAATTCAAAGTCATGTTTTTGATATCACCAAGAATATTAAAGCATGTAAGAGATATAACTAGACATAAGTATTTTTGTAACAGTTTGAATGTGATTACATGCAGTAAGAGTAGTTATCTGTGTCTCAACTATGAATGTAGACCTGGAAAGTCTCCAGAGAGAAGTCATGTCTCTTCAGAGCCCTATGAGCCAATCTCACCACCTCAGGTTCCAGCTGTACATGAGAAACAGGACAATGTTCTACTACTTTCCCAAAGAACTGAGCCTACTGAACAGAGGTATGTGTAAAACTGAATTTTATAAACATTTTCTGCATCTTGAGCTGCAAACAATATCTAATCTCTGAAGT